AGTCCCTTCAAATCTATTGTATTGCACATATATTTTCACTACCTCTCTCATATTCGCCCTGCTTCCGAAGTTACAGCTCTCTCCCAACAACAACCTCTTCCTCATCACATCCTCTCCATTATGATTTCAGTAACCACCTTCCCTAAAGCCACTGTCCTTTGGTCTGCAGCTCCAGAGGTTTGTCTTCTGCCTGATAACAGCTCAGAGATTTAAAACCCCTTCGTCCTGCCCACAAAAAATAAAACAAAACCAACTCCCTTCCCCACCACTTATCTCCTCCTGACAGAGCCTCTGGAGCAGATCTGGTCAAACAGACTGGCCGGATCAGTTCCCCTCATGGCTCTGTTTCGGGGAAGTGGATGTGCTATTCATTGGACAGAGGAAGTGCCAAGCCTTGGCAGGTTCCCTACTTATTTGCAAGACATAAGCTGCTGGCGTGGTGTCAGATGTACATGCAAGAAAGCTGGATGCCAGTTAAGACCTACAGTCCGGTTTGTTTCATGCACTGTGAACTTATCCTATATACACTATGGGCTGGTTTATGCTTGAAGACATGAATATAAAGGTATAGGTTTTCCTTTTACCTTAGTAACCAAAGCTTTACTTTAACCCACGGAACAGCAGGGGTTTGCTACCAGGGCTCTTATTTTTCTGTTTTGTTCTTTCTCTCTTCATTTCTTAATACTCAAGGTGAAGGGGGGATAGGAGGAGGACAGGTAGGATTACAGCCCCAAGGTCCTAGTTCCTAAAGGTCCCTGAGTGACAGCACTATACAGTATCAGAAAATGAAGCAATAGACTTGCGTTGGCCATGTATATCCTGAGAGAGATTTCATTTCTATTTCTCCTCCTCCACATGCCTGTCTTAGGCTGTTATGCATGAGAAAGGGGCAGAACGATCTCCTCCAGCCCAGCTCCCTCAGGCAGCCTGGACCATCCCTTACGCTTGTGTTACAGTCTCTGCTAAAAAAACCCATGACCCAGCAAGCAGCAGTGCCCCAAGCTGCAAACAAACCAAGCCCCAATCGGAATTGCCTCCTGCACTACTGCAGCAAAAGTCAGAAGCAGCTCCACTTTGGAATATTACTCTTTCCTCCTCCTTTCCCCATTGCTCTCCCTTTGTGAAGAAAAGGTGGACAGCAGTGGGCACACGAGCTGCAGTGTGGATATCTCCTCCATCTTTCCAATAACATGAGCTTTGTACCCACTGCATGAGAGGTTCATGCCTTTCCTTTCCTCATGCTTATGATGGCTTGAAACCTCTGAGCCTTGAGTATGATTAAAATGCCTTTTTTTACCCCCACTATCTCCTTTCTGGATCACTGCACCTCAAAACAAGACATGGGTTTGTTGCCTTTCTTAGGGGTGGACAGACAGCTATGGAAGGGAAAAATGGAGGTGCCACCTCGGTTCTGGTGGCACTTCTAAAGGCCTTCAGCACTCTTCCCTCACCCCTGAACAGGAACACATTTTCTATTACTCATCTGACTCACAGGACACTCAGTTGTTCTCCAGCATTCTGCCCTGTCACCAGAAATATAAGGCAGTTCCTGAACTGTGAAAAGTCCTGACCTCACACTCTTTGGCAAAGTTTATTGTGTAGGACCAAATAGTCCAGATGTCTGGATATACTAAGACTGACTCTATGAAGTACAACTGACCTGGTAATACCAGGTCAGAAACATTCAAAGAGAGAAAGTAGGATGACTCCTGATAAGAAAGAGAACCCAGCCAACAGAGAACCAAGGCAATAGAAAAGGAGTCTGGCTCCCAGTCCCAGCAGGTGAAGAAATCAGCTGAGCAGTCCTTTTTCCCTGGAAAACTTTTGAATTGTTACTACAAAATTCTGGGCTCAGTCTCTGATTGAGGCCTCAAATATTAAGCACAGCACCCCTGTGCCTGATCTCCAGCTGCTGGAGGCCCTGGGTTGTACCCGCAGGGCACTGGATGGGGTTGGTCAGGACCCCACTCCATCTGGGACTCAGCACCTGAGCAGCAAAGAGCATATGTGGGTTTTGCATCATGTGTGCTGCTGGTCCTACCACTCTTTGGGACCAGCTGAGAGAGCTCCCAGGTGCCTAATTCCTACCACACATTTGTCAGGCTTTTACTACAACTATCAAACTAGTAGAGTTCTTCAGTCATCTCCCTCAGCTTCATAATTTCTTACCACATGGACATTTGTTCTCCCTCCAACCTTAATAGGCTTCTTATAACTGCCTCTTTTTTTTCCCTTTCTATTGTTCTGACCACCCTTCACATTGCAATCACATACATAAAGTATAAGTGTATAGATATTTAATTTAATCATTAATCAGCTGATTAGACTCCCTCTAAAAACTGAACCTGCTGATAGGCAGTCTCCATCTGGGGATTGCAGTCATCTGACATGCATATATCCACCTACGTTATACCGCTGATGTCATACAACACAGCTTTATGATGTCCATTAAAACATTTAAAAGCCATTTCCAAATAGCATCCCACTAGAAAGCGTAACTTTATCCATTGGCCAAGCTTTAACTTCCTGGGTTTCGGGTAGACAAAAGTACCCATCCAGCCCTAGCCCTGTCATCCAGCTCCATTCACTCTTCAGACTCTTATTCCTATACAGACTCGTCTAGACCATAAACTGCAATAACATTGGAGAAAACCCATTTTCAACAGCATTGCTCCTGAACGTGGAAATAAGCAACAGACTGTTCTGCGGGGCAGCTGGGAATCTAAGTCTGATTTAACAATTCTGCTAAACCCTTGGTGAGCCCAGGATATGTGCATGCATAAACATGAGAGAGGGAGACAGAGATTGGGGGCAATTGAGAAGGAGAGATGCTCTACTTTTATGCTTAGGATTCTATTAGTGGAAAATGAATATGACAGTTTTTTACTGATATAAAAATAACAATACTTATTACTCTGATGAGCCCTGATCCTGCTTCATCCAAGTCAAGGCAATTCTTTCCATGATTTCAGTGTTACTAGGTCAGGCCTATAGTGATTCACATTTTCATAGCACTGTACAGACATAAATTAGTGAATGAAAAGTTGTACATTAGATGCATCTGTCATCTGAAAAACAGAAGTTTCCCTGGTCTCAGAGGATCACTCTGCTCTCTCAAACAATGGGAATCAAGGAAAAAGGAAAATAAAAGAATGGTTGGATTAAAGGCAGTGTGTGTCTGGCATGTAAAAACTTTCATCAGCTAAGAACAAGGTTCTCATCATTACTCCAGAAATGGCAGAATGACCCTAGGGTTAAAGTTTTGCACTTGTGAATTTATTATTTTCATGGCTTTTATTAATATTCTAAGGGAGATTATCAATCATCAGTAATTGCCAAAGTGGCCAATAATTCAGTGATTTTCCTGAAAGTCACTGGCTCCTTTGGAAAAAGTTGACCTCACTGTTCAAGGCCAAGTTACCCTTCTGTACCTTTATAGTGAGTGCCTGGGGGTGGAAGCTGCTACAGACTTAGGGGCTTCCACAAGCACTGACAAGCTCAGCATTTTCATTGCAACCTTCACCCTGCCCAGTCTTTGAAGACAATCATCTTCCAATGGGATGGTGCTCCATGAAACTCTACTACTGCATCCTTAGTTACATCTTCTGCAAGAAGGGACACAGGGTGCTCTTCTCTATACTGTACATGTATAAACAGACATAAAGCAAGGCTTGATAGAAGCAGTACATATCAGAGCATGGCCAGCCCACCATTTGCTTCTGAACTTCTTAGGAAAGGAGATAGTTATCATTTCCAGAATTTTTTCATTCTGAAGCACAACAAAGTTAAAAAACATCCACACCTTTCCTGCACCTTGCCACATGCTACGGTCAGTCAGTGGGCTGGAGCATGAAGTCCCTTATCTGGGACAAGGAACTGGTAGAGAGAGGAAAGGGTTGAGTTTTCAAAGTCCTGCAACTGCCTTTCTCCCCAAACTCAGTAAGAAAGATGCAGGGTGAGAATGATTAGTAACAACCTCTCCTTTTAGGACTGAATCAGCTTAGTCTACTAGAGATCAGATGCCAGCAGTGAACAGCAGCACTGTCCCACTGCTGATCCCCAATGCCCTCTCTTTCATCAGCAAGTATATATTTGCACAATCTACCTCCCAAGCTCTGTCTCTCTAATACAAGCTGGGACTCCGACCTCCAATCTTGCAAAGTTGCAACGAGCAAACAAAACCCTGCTATTCCCCCGAAAACCACTGCCGGTTAAATGTCATCTGTGTTCTCTTTCTACAAAAGACATTACAAAACCCCCCTCCCCAGCTCCCCTCCCCAGAAAACATGCATGCACACACACACATCCGTATCTACATACGTGTGCTCATTCACACACAGATGCGCCGCACACGCACACACATTCATACAGGAAAAACAGCTTGCAAACTCCTGAAGGTGGAAAAAGGCAACTTGCAAATGTGCCTTTGTTTTTTATAAGCTCCCTCCTCCCCCCCACCCATAACCCCACATTGCCCCTTCCCTCCCCAGTAATTGCCTTGTCTTCCCCCCTTCCCAGCTCTTCCAAAATAAATATTCTTTTTATTTGTTGGTTTAAAAGATTCTTTTAGGCTTGTAAGCAAGAGAGAGAGAGAGAGAAAGAAAAGAGAAATCTCATAGCATGAGAATGAAACCTCACCATCTCATGAATCCATGAAAGAATAAACATGAAGAGGCTAAGAGCAGTGACAGAAGAAAGATTAAAAAAATATAATACTGAGAAAAGAAAGATAAAATTCAGTAGTGAAATGGAAGTGAGGATAGCACACTAGTGAGCACAGCCAAAGATAACCTATCCCCCACCAGTTTTTGACTCAATTTCTTTAAATCTCCCTCCCCCCATTTTTAAAACTTTTTTGTTGTTTTTTTCCTGTTGTGTTTTTTTTTTTTTCTATTTTTCCTTTTTTTTTCTTTCTTTTTTTTGTTTTTGGTGGTTTTTGCTTTTTTTACAATGGTTTAAGTCCTTCAAGCAAGAAACCAAAATTGAGACAAACACATCCCTCCCTGAAACCAAACCCCCTCCCATATACCCTTCTCTCCCTTACCCCCTCCACACTTCGTGGTTCTACATGTGCTGAAAAGAGAAGAGTAAGCTTTGAATAAATCTAATGAATCAAAGGAATAAATGATAATGATAGTAAAGAGCAAAACCCAAACCCAAAAGACCACAACACTCCTGTGTTGTCATTGTCTGAGTGTCTGTCCCTATCTCTCTCGGAGGCTGCAGGCATCAATTTACATAGTACAACCAGTAAACAAGGTTGAAGAATCCAAAGGTGATTGGAAAAATGATTCGTGACCACTTGTCAATGGTGCTGACGTCTGTCAGGTCTGGGATTTTGAGCTTCAGCTTAGATGACCGCCGGCGGAGACGACAGTTGGCACGGTTGCGGGCCGCAGCGTGGTGGGTCAGCGGGACGTGGCGGTCCAGGGTTGGGTGGTGACCAAATCCATCCCGAGAGGCCAATTGCTTGCGGAACTGGATTCCTGAGCCTTCAAAGGACATGACAGAGTTTCGAGAGTCGCCAACGCTGCTCATCATGTCTGTGGCCAGAAGTTCGTTGTTCATCTCCAGAGTGCTGAGGAGGATGTTACCATAAGGGTCAACCTAGAACAGGGAAGACAGAGAGAAAGGTAGCAGGGATGTCCTGTGCACAAGGCACACAGGGTCACACCATCAGGGTTGATTTTGAACTGTTTTCTGTGTAACAATACCACTGATTGGGTCATTTATGAGTTCTGAATCTGGACTTCTGCATTTGAAAGTGTTGTCCACTGGTGCTAGAGTTGAAGGACTAGCCACACATGCTTGCAGAAAACTTTTGAGTGGGGTTTTTGATTCTGTCAACACTGTAGAACCAAAAAAATATAGAAGTCTTTTTGGGTACACCTGCCCTGTGCAAGAGGATGTTCCTGATGAGACTGGCTTGAGAATGAGGACAAAATTATCAAGGAGAAAAAATTCCCAGTAATCACCAGAGAGGGGAACTGGAGTTTATCTCTCATGATGAGGAGAAAGGCTGCTTCACAGTTCACCCAGAACTGAATGAACAGTGGAGAGTCTGAATTCTCCTGCCACAATGAAAGAAGGGGACAAACCTGCTCTCTCACCCTCTTCTCCTCATAACGATGGCGCTCATTGTTGGCCTTGCTGATCCGTTCACTCTGTTTCTTTTGCTGCCGGGGACCTCGCCCGAAGAATATGTAGTTGACAAAAGCATACTCCAGGAGTGCCAGGAACACGAAGACAAAGCATCCCATGAGATAAACATCAATAGCCTTGACATAGGGGATCTTGGGGAGAGTCTCCCGCAGATGGGTGTTGATGGTAGTCATTGTAAGTACCGTGGTGACCCCTGTAAGGAGAGGGTAGGTGCTCTGTTACCAAGGTGGGATGGTTTCCTGAAATGCCACTCTCAGCTTCCCCATCCCTCCTCTCAGCTGGACAACCTCAGGAGGGATGGGAGCAGTGCAACTGGGAAGAAAATTGTCATTATTCTAAGCGCAGCTGCCAGTACAAATTGCTGCAGAAAAAGAACCAGCTGCCAACAGCGGGAGAAAATGTCAAAGCTGAGTATCATCAGGACAGTGGGGATCAATATCCTCTGGACCTTCATTTTTTAGGCCCTCCCTGATCCTCCTTCTTTCCCTCAGTGTAGTAGGAAACATTCCATTTTGCTCTCAGTCTCTCATCCTTTTCTCCTCCTTTTTTTCACATCAGGCTTCCCTGGGCACTACTGAATGCCTCCATATCCTTGACATGAATTTCTGATCTGCTCTGTCTTTTCAGTGCCATGAATAGGAGAAAGAGTGAAGAGATTCCCTCTTCATGGCACTCTCTTTTTTTGCCTGCCTCATAGGCTTCTGTCTACATCCTCGATCCCATCAGTTCCCACCTTCATCTGTACACACTCTTCCCGTGGTTCTCACACTTTCCTTTTTAGGCCTGCTCGTATTTCCTGCATCTTAATTAAGTATTTCTTGATCTCGTTGAACACTTTTTTTCCCCATCTACTCAGTCTCTAAGAGCCTGGTGCACCATGATTAGTCTAACAGCTTCAGTCCTCTTCTTGGGTTTCTTCTCAGCCTCTTCCTTTCTCTGGACTGACAGTGTGGCCTCAGATCTGTCTCTTTGACAGTCTTCTGCCAGTTTCAAAAAGATGGCAATGAGCCTTTATGCTTCTTTTGAGGGCAGTAACTTTTCCTTTTCAACCTAGTCTTTTCCCACTTCTCTAACTCAACTGTCCTGCTTTTCTTACTACCTTGCTGATCTTTTCTTCTAGTGTCTCCTCATCTCTCTCTTTGGCAGTTGTCTTAGTCTCCATGACCCTAATTTGCTCCTCTGGTTTCATCCCTACCTCTACAACGGTGGTTCTCAAACTTTTCTGTGCATCCTTTTTCTGTGCATCTGCTTATCCTTTTTCCCCTTCACCCTCATCATGTATTTAGTGTCATTCCTGATAAAAGATTTAAAGAACTAATAGTCTTCAGTTCACAGAAGAGTAAACAGAAGGGAGATATATTTATATACATACAATATATTATATTGTCTATATTTAGACAGTAGTCTAAATATCCAGAAATCTGGGGCAAAGAAAGAGGGAATGGAATGTTCTCCACATCTCCATTAAGAACTGGGCAAACTGCAATGGGGACTTAGGACAGAGGCAAAGAAGAGCTTTCTGACTGTTATGAGCAGGTAAATCTGGAGATAAAGCACCCAGAGGAGGCTGTGGAGTCTCCTTTGGAGTTTTTCAAGGACAAGTTAGATAGAGAGCTGTCAGGAACAGTTTAAGGAGGGCTGTTCCAGTTTTGATCTGCAATGTTTTTCTTCTCTCTTCTTTGAATCCAGATGTCAGCAGAAATTCAACAGCTGTGCATCTGATGTCCATCCTTCTGCTTGTACTTTCACTGTGCCAGCAATGTCTGTCATGGGCTCTTTTTCTTTGCTCACTGATTATACTTTTGTCAGTGCAACTTACCTTTTTAATTTACCACGTTCTTCTTGTTCCCTCCCTGTCTCCCTGCTCCAGCCTCTCCAAACCAGCACAGCCAAATGATCTATTTTATATCTTTGTACAAACCATCCCTCCTCTGAGTTTTCTCAAACTCTTGTCTTCTCCTAGAATTAATTTAAGCCCCTAACCTTTTCTGTAAGACGCAGCCTCTACCTGTGCACCATTGCCTCTCTGAGCCTTTTCCCACTCACAGATGAAATCCTTCTCCCTCCTTGGCTCTCCTATTTCCTTTGAACTTTCTATCATGTTGCACAGCCCCATTCTCATATGCCAGCCATCTCCCTTTTCTCCTCTTCCTTCTTCAAAATCCTCATCTGCAATCCACCCCCACTTCCTTTCTGTTGCTTAAAAGACCACATTTTTTTTCCTCTTATAGGAAAACATACCTATTTAGGGGAGCATGTGCTTGAGAAGAACTTGAACTTTAACTACTGTCCCACATTTGCCTTGGTTAAGAAGGTCTTCAGCTACAAAAAGTGTCTGTATAGGGTCTAAACTATCGTGAAAATGTGTAATGCCACTTTACTTTTTTCATCTTTTAATCATCCACTCACCTTTCTTACTACTCTTTGGCCACCCATCCTCAGCATTTATCATCCAACTAACCAGTCCTGACACACCTGTTGACCAAGAGATTCCCAGACATATTTTCTTAAGAAAACAAATACAAACGGGAGTAAAGGAACTGGTGGGCTCGTGGCATGTCAGAGTCTCACATGTCTGAGAAGCTGTGACCATTTATGTTTTTGTTATAGAGTTTATATTTGCACCAACAGAAATTTATGGTAGAGCCTTTACTGATTCAAATAATACAGACTCAAGCTTGGGAAGTACTGATACTTATGAACAAAAAAAAATAGCTCTTCTGGCTGCAAATTTGAAGTTTGTTCTCAGAAAAAAATGTCTTTCATTTGAGATGACAGGTTTGACAGACCTATTTGGCTTGCTTAGCTGCTACCTCATAATGAAAAAAATATTTTCTTTCCTACAGCTGTCCTAGCTGATCTCCCTCAAAAAACCACTTTCTTCAACATATAATGAAAAGGTACGTACCTAGTGCCACTCGTGCAGCAGAAGCATCGTAATTGATCCAGAAGGAGACCCAGGACAAGATGGTGATGAGAATAGATGGCATGTAAGTCTGCAGGATGAAGTAACCAATGTTCCTCTTAATCCGGAAACTCAAGGATAAGCGCAGATATGAACCTGTCAATGAAATATTAAAAGGAGATGTTGCTTGAGAGGAGGACAAAGCTATGTTTATAGTAAGAGCTCAGGTTAGGAATTGAAATTTTATTTGGAAACTGTTCTCAAGAGGCAGGGATCATGAGAAATCTCTCTTTCTTCATTTGGTTTTGAAGACTCATCAGTTTTTGGAAGGGTGTTTTTCAGAGTCTGCTCAGTTGGCTCAGAATATTAAGAAGAAAGGACACTCTACATAAGTTACATTATTATATCAGATATCATGGGAGAATGTCTATTCAGTGCTGAAATTGCTAGTACTGTACATGCCAATTTGATACAGTCTTACACAGGAGACTTTAACCATATATCTGTATGCAGGGAGATGATTTTCCAATGTTTCATGTACTAGCTCTTCCTCCAAACAGCAATGAAGATCTGAATCGTATTTTTCCCATGCTGTTCTAAAAATGGGTTATGGCCAGACTGGGCAAATTCATATGCAAATAGAGTACTGTTAGTTAATCTGTAGGTCTTTTTTTTTTTTTTTTCCAAGCTGTTGCAACTTCCTCCTAATCTTTTAGCAAACTTAATGGGGATAGTGATGACAACAAGTACTTTTCCAGGTCCTTCCACTGGAGCAAGGTCATTTTGACAGGGACAAAACAGAGCCTCTCTTATTGCTGTAAAACAAAGTCCAAGTCATTCCTCCTTCCCGCCTCCATCCCTTAGGCAACACAGCAGCCTGAAATATGTGTATAATTGTGGGATGGCAGCTCAAGTAACAAGAGAACAAGTGTCTTTAATGATCAAGGAGGCAGACTTGGAAAAAGGAGGTTACGTTCTCTCACCATTATGTGCCATTTGTGAAGTGTGAACAAAGTACTTCACCAGTCTTTTTTTGAAGCTCTTACCTATTAGACTGCAAACTTCTTTTAGAGGAATACTGCCTCTTGTTGTGGGTCTCTAGATTGCCATTGCAATGGGATTCTGCTCCCAGCATGCCCCCGAGGCACTATTGTAACAGCATCACCATCTGCCACCACCGCTGATAGACTCACGCTGTGATTTCATGGCATTTCAAAAATTGTCCTATTTAACAGGTGTGTGGCATGCTGTTTTGGCAGTGAGCTCCATGCCAGATCAAAGTGAAGACAGCAACCAAAATCCAAACCGCTCCAACTTTCCCACCGGCAGTATCTGAATAGTCCAAGGTATTCTCTCCAGATCTTTTTATTGCCATGTACAGATGGGTTTGTGTCATTTCATAGACCACTTGCTTCTCAACTGATATATTCTTCTGCTTACTACTGCACCTACATTATCTTCCAGAGCCAGCTGCAAACCACATCAAAACAAGGTAAAGGCTGAAAACCTTCTACCAAGGTTCTGTTTTGAGCTCAGTTGGTGTTTTGATGAAGAAATAAAAGCAATTGCAGCATAAAAAATAAAAAAAAAATAAAAATCCCATAAGTCTTGAAGACAACTTGGTGGGCACAGAAGATGCCTCTTTTCCAAAGGGACAGGACCCTAAATTGAAGCCTAAGTCCTTAGTTAGTGCCTCAGCATCTGACTCAGAGGAACAAGCACACTGACAATCAGCAGAAGGTTTGCACATGCCATCACATCCCTTCAGCAGAGACTCACCGGTGGTGAAGACCACTTCCCTGCTGACGAGCCTCTGCTCAATAATGGTGAACTGGGGCAGTTCTAGCATCTCCATCCCTGTGACAGCAGAATCATTTCCTTGCCAGAAGAAGACAATATCATCAACTGTGTAACCATCTGCAGAGATGAAGAAGCACAGAGACACACAAGTTGGAGCAGATGACACCCCCATTTTCACTAAGGTGATCTGGAAGAGGACCCAAAGGAAAGCCCACACCATCAGATAGCAAGCATAGCCCCTCCCTGTTAATGTACTTTTCTTCTTCAGCTAAGCTTGGCAGCAGAGTCCTCAGGAAAAGAGATCAAAAAATTGGACAGAACTCCCACTTCTGGCAAAAACTCAGGAGAAATAGATGAGAAGTAACCCATCAAGCCTTGACTTGTGCTACATAATCTCCATGGCTGTCATGACAGGGACTTGTGCATCAGAAACCTCTGCCAAATGCACCAAACACACATTTTGCTTTTCAAAAACTGCCTCCTTTTTCCAGAAGGGGGAGACCACACAATACATTCTGGTGAGGACTAGGTAAACAGAGCATCCCAGTATTAAAAATTCCAAAAGGGAAAAAGATTTACAACAGTGGTTGAAATTTGAGCATCAGAGCATCTTCCTACTGTAAGTACTCTCAGTCAAAATTTGGAGCCAGGAAGTGGACAGTGTCTCTGAGATCGGGAGCTGCTTTTACCAAGTGCTGTCTGAAAAGAGCAGTAATGGGATAAACAAGAAGGGCGAGTCAGGTTGGTAACAAATAGTCATGCCCTATGTTTCAGGGTAATGGATTTGTTAACTCAGGCAAGGTTACAGCTTCTTACTTTAACCCCAAACTATATATGCCACCAGACTATATATGCCAGACAGGGCTGGATGGGCTGGAAGTCCTGAGGAGTCCAAAGCCACAGTACCAAGAGAAAGACACCCCAGATGCAATGGACTTAAAAGGAATAAGGCCCAGGGGATGAAATCATGCAGCTCCTCTCCCACCAGTGTGATGTTCACAGCCCTGCCCATTGCCCTTGTGGGCAAGGATTCATCTCCACTTGAAAATTAACGCTGCTTGTGGCAAACTGGGTTTTGAAACACTATGGCTGTTACTGCACAAGGGGTGGCCTCTCAGTCTAATCAAAGTGCAGAGCTGCATGGGAGCACCTTTGTGTGCAGAGAAGCAGTAAGACATGTACAGGCTTGGGTACAGCATGGTGCAAGGCTTCTTTTAGAGCATGAACTTCAACTATCCCCACAGACAGCTTTTATTCACACCCTGCACTGCAGCACAACAGCCCGCCTTGTCCACAAGCCCTCGCAGCAGAGGCAGTTGGCCAGCAACACCCATCAAGGCTAACATCTACCAGGAAGGGCTGCCACCAAAACCAGCACCAGTGTATTAGTGGGGTCAGGGGAATGAAGAGCTGTTGATTGTACCATGGAAGAGAAATTCTTCTACCTAGTTTTAGGGGCCAAGGGTTACCCTAGATCAGAGGTGAACCTTTGAGGATGGTGTCATCCTGCAGTACCTGAGTGAACAAAGAGCTGAGCAACCTGGTCTGATCTCATAGCTGACCCTGCTTTGAGCTGGGGGCTGGACTAGAGACACCCTGAGGTCTCTTCCTAAACTGAATTATTTGATGACTGTGTAGTCTCCAAGCCCACATCCTGTGCTCTCAGTCATAACTGCACTTATTCATGGGTGCTAAAAAATAATAACAATCTCCCAAATGCCATGCCAGATCTGCTTCTGGTGTAAATCACTTAGGCTCAGGACTCCACCTCCTCCCCCATGGCATGCTCCTGCTCCCGTGGCAGTAACTGGTAAAGCACTCACACCCACAAGCCCACAGAAATCCAGAACCCTTAGGTTATCATCTCATCTGCTGCAGGCACTGGGGTGTCACAGGCTGTTGCACTGACTGAAGCACCCCAGCTTTGTGCACAGGAACTGGTATTTGCATCCGGCTGCAGCATCTCTCCCAGAGCACTGAGACCAAGTGTGGAAAGCAACAAGAAACAGCCAAGTCCTCCACTCCTCCAGTGGGTGATTCCATCAGCTCAAACAGTCTCACAGTTAAAAACACTGTGTGCAATTTTACATTTGAATTCATCTGGCTCAGACTTTCAGACTCTTGTGGTTGTTGTGAATTTTTCAAGGAGGTTACCAAGCCCTTTCCACCCAGCGCTCTCTCTCTGCAGAGGTGCACCCAGCCTGTAAACAAGTCACTTCTCCACCTCCTTTGCAGTAAACAAACCAGACCGAGCTATTTAGATTTCTTACTGCAAAACATCTCTAGCCCTTGAACAGCTTTTTAGCATCTTTTCCCAACCTCTTCCGGTTTCTCAACTTCCTTTCTAATTTTTGGAAACCAAATATAGACCAAGTCCCTTTCCCCATCTCACCAGCGACACATTCAATCGATTCACTGCTCTGACTCACAGCTCCCCTGGTTTATATAACCAAGGCTCACTCCAGCCCTTTTTGTCAGAGCCCAGCTACCACATCTCCAGCAGCGGTGCCCGGGGCTGCCATCCCTTCATCATTTCCCCCAGTCAATACCCATGCGGGTACGAGTCCCTCAGTCTGGCAGCCTTGCCCGAGCTCCCAGGCACAGACCTCCGCATTTAGCTGTATTCAAATGCGTTCTGGATGTGTTCAAATTGGGAGTTATTCAAACGTGCAGTGAGCAAGCCACGCAGACTGCTATCTTCATCATCTACAAATTTAACAGCAGTGACTTCAAATTTACTTCCTGATCAGCAATGAAAATGTCAAATTACAGTAACTAATTTTAGGAGATCTCGCAGTTAACTAGCTCTGTTCCATTTATTCTCTGACTTGCTGGTATTGGGCACTAATTTTTGTATTTTTTTTTTATTATGGCATTATGCAATATGAAATCAAACAGGTTTTTTTTGGAAGACTTTTTTTTAAGTGATTCTAAAAGGAAAGGCTGTCCAGTCTAAAAGTAAATACTTCACTCTGATTTCTAGTTTTAAAAAGAAAACCAAATTTCTATTTTGCTTTTAAAAAGTAAAAGAACTTTCACAAAGACCAGTGATTTCAATCTGAAATATAAAGTATTGATAAGACATCTTAAAAGTCAGATTAACAGCCTGTTTGCTACCTTCCTTATCAGGTTTTGGTTGAATCCGGACACACAGCTAGGCAGAGGTATGCACGGTGAGGGCTATTTTCGAGATAGAGGGATGGGCTCAACAGGCAATGCCAGCACCAGCTTATCTCCTGCAGGTAAGTGCCCTGAGCTGCTGCAGGGCAGGAGACCCCAGCTGCCCGTTGCTGCTTTACAAACTCAGCATCACAAAAGGGCTATTTTGGTGATTTGTTATAGTTTGGGTTTTGGGGGGGTTTTTTGGTTTGTTTTTGTTTTTTTACTTGCTTTGGTTTTTAAGCCAGCCATGAAAGGACTCTTATTCCAGAGTTGTGTGGACTTGGAAGCAAACAAAATGGAGCCCTGTGGATTTCAAATGTGCAAGTGTTTGAAAGACAAAAGCTCTGAGGAAGGAAACGATTGAATCTCTTCATCTGTGCGTGGATCTTAGAAATATTGTAAGGAAATGTAGCTTCAACTAACAAATTGGCTTGACATGTCCCATTAAGAACAAAATTGCAACATGGGGAACTGTGGGTAATTCTCTGCCTTCTGTTTTCTTGGTTGTACCATAAACTATTCTCAAAATGCTAAGGAGTGCCAGAAATGACATGTCATTAGTGTCTCCAGCAGGACCTAATTTACATCCCATTACCCACCATGCCAAGCGCTGCAATGGCTGCACATCCCGAGCACCCCGAGCAGTGAGAGGGAAGGGGGCTCCCAGGCGCAGGCAGGGCTGGGAAGGCAGCTCGGTGCCTTCCAACTAGGGATGCTGTGAGACCTCTTCTATGAAAAAAAGCAATTCTCTGATAATCACCACTGAAGCTGCATCATCATTACTGTGAGATCTGCTGCTCTGGACTGCTCCTGGGGGGATACTGCAGTGCATTTTTATGAGGGAGATCTGGACCTCCTCCGCCAGTGTGGTCAGGAGAGGCTCTCCATAGGAGTCAAGGGAAGATGCAGGCAAGGAGGGACTGCAGGAGGGCTTGGGTCTCACCTCCCACACAGAGCAGGGCCAGCCAAAAGTGAGGGCAGGCTCCCAGGACTTCTTAGTGCTAAGGGAGGCTTCTACCATACTTCTGAGGGTGAGAGGGACTTTAATGCCTAGCCTGCTTCTAGAGCTCTATTTTCACCCACAAGGTCCCCTCAGGATGGAGTTTGGATGAGGGAGCCTGGTCTTGCCCCAGGGGACACCATCCAGGAAGGGTGGCCCATAACAGCCCTGGGAGGCACCCCTCAAGTGGGAAGCTGAGGCTGGGGCAGGTGGCATCGAGTGGCAGAGGGTGGGTGCGAGGCATACGCACAGCTCTCGATCTCCAGAGTGCAGTTCTGCTGGTCCAGGGGGTATCTCCGCAGGTCCATCATGCAAGCCGCTGTGGTGGTGATTCTGAAAAGGAAAGAGAGAAAACAAATCAGATGTGCATTTTTTTCTTACGCAAAAAAAAAATAAAAAAGGAGAAATGAAAGGCAGACGTGAAAGTCAGGCAGCATTTGGGGCCGCTGTTTCCCTGGAAACCAGGGAGATCCGTGGTGGGAGGTGTGCAGGGCGGGGGGCTGGATGCAGCTCACCCTCACCGCACAGCTTAAACCCTTTGTGACTCACGTCAGCAAGGCAGTATCTCTATTAACAGAGTAGGGAGGGATTTATGTTCCTCCTCTGTCTCTCCCTTGAGAAAGACAAAGAAACCGAGAGTAGGCAGAGCCACAGGCACGGGGAGAACAGGAGACACATGTCAGTGTGTAAGAGAGAGACAGCCAAAATGTGTTCATAAATCAGAAGATGCATTGATTAAATTGCCCAGCAATGACCTATGGAGAAGAACAGCTGACCATATCACCCACCTTTCCTCCTGAGTTGCCCCAATGACCCTACTTGCAATCCTCCACCCACACCCCCTCCATCACACCCACTTTGGCCCTGTGAAATCCAAAAGCCCAGACCCCAAGAACGGGACCCTTCCGCTCCTGTGGGCTCATGGCTCTGGTAACAGAGTCACTCTCATACAACGGATTGCACAATCAAAACTAATCAAAGATGTATGGGTGCGTGTGCACATCTGCCTGAAAAATAAATATGGGGAGAGAATGAGGGCTGGCATTGCTTTGGGGGTGTCAGAGCACAGGGTGAGGGAGAACAGCACAGCGTCCACAGTGGGGTTCACGTGAGGGTGTGATGAGGGTTTGTGTGCGTTACACGTTATACATGAAGGAGCATTGCTCTCTGGGATGGGGCATTTTGGGGTGTGATAGATGAGAGAAGAGGGCGTGAAGCAGGGACAGAGCAAATCAAGAGTGAAGTCACCAGCCTGGCAACACCGCCCTGGAGTTAACAGCCTGCCTCTATTTCTCAAATATATTGCTCCCCTCACCCTTTAATGCAGTTTTCTTCCTATGCCATGTATGTGTGCAGAGTGCTGAAGAGGGGGGAGAGATTGATGCATTCCCCCTTTTTTTTTTTTTTTCAATTAACCATCTGGAAGGCATTAATCAAGCTACACATTTTTTACTATGTAGGCATAACCAGTGAACTGTTAACGAGAAAGCTTTATCTTCTGAGCCCTGTGGCCTGGGAGAGAGAGAAAAGAGAGGAAAAAAAAGAAAAACAAGAAAGCAGAGAGGATGAGATGACAAACCAGCAAAAGAGAAGGGAAAAAAAGAAAAAAACATCAATGAAAGAAGAAACAACCAGAAAGAGGGAGAGAATAGGTGAAGCGGGACAGAAAATCAGAAAGGGGGGGGAGAAGGAGGGGGTAAGCATCTGCAGGAGAGGGCTGTGCTGGTGGGGTATTGGGGCGGGGGTGTCGCAGGGCAGGCGAGCAGCCCTGCAGAGCTGCTGGCTCTTTAAGAAATCTCGTGTGCTAAATTTATCTCTCTGCTGTCTGTGAAGACTGTTTGTAGGAGATGAAGCCTTGAGGAGAGCCTTTGCCACTGCCTGCCGTGCTATAAATAGATCCGAAGAGACGGAGGGAATTTATATATATCCTCACTGGGTCTAGATACAACATTGCAACTGCCCTCTCTCCGAGCAGGGGGCCCAAGTGAGCTCTTAACCCTTTTATCTGTAATGTGGTTGGGGTGGAGGAGAAAGCTCAGAGGGGGGAGAAGGATAACAGGACAGGAGGCACTTAAAAATTGTCACCATGGCTTTGGGATTGCATATATTGCTTTTACAGCCTCCCAGTTCGGCACCTCTAGGAGGGCTGCTGAAAATTCAATGCCTCTCCCACCCCAGTCCTCCTCGACAGGGGTAGCTGGGCATAGGAGACCACGGTGGAGGAGCAGATCCGAAGCACAGCTGGGGGGAGCTGCACCTTGCCAGGAAAGCCCCCGAGTGGCAGGTGCAGAGTCCATCCTGGCCAGGCACTGAGACCAAAGAGTCACGAACGGGTATGACTCATCCCCCTGTGCCGCACACAGCATATACTGTATATATTATACTGCACCCGTGGGAAATAGCAGTTACAAATGCGTTCTCCCATTTTCCCTAAAGTGTGAGATGTAAAAATGTATTAAATGAAAATTTTCCACCTCATTTGTGGGACCCTGCAGGCTAAAACCTTTCCACAGTGTCCATCCCAAAATGGCAGCCTGCCTGGCTAACTTGGCCACACAAAGGACATCCAGGGGAAGCCTTTTCTGGTTCAAGAGGGACCCTCTCGCCTCTCGACAGGATTTGCTTGTCACCTGCAGTGCTGGTTGGAAATGCAGAGCACGACACAGTGAGCTATGGCTACCACACTCCATGCGCCAATTCCTGCTCACACTAGCAGCCGGCATAAATCCAGAACCACTCCAATGATTTTTGCAAGATCACACCAATTTACATTGGCAGAGATTTACATCAGGGCAGAATTTAGCCCTGTTGATTCAAAAAGAACACCACCTCAGGACAGGTAGGAGAGAAAGGAGAAAAACAAGATAAAGAATGCATCTGTCCTCAAAAATCAGATAATTTATCTTTACTTGTGATTAAAGGGCAGGTGTATCCACACCATACAATTCAGCATCTTCCAGAGATACCCCAGTCAGCTGCAGGCCCCAAACTCCTGGTGATCTGCCCATGTAATGCTGCTCAGGCACGTGAGAACTGGGGCCAGGGTGAAGGCTGTGTTTCAGAGCAGGGGTAGCACAGCCACACGCAGCTGTCCTGGGTTGTAGCCATCTTCTCATCTGCAGCATTTTCGCTGTGGCAAGCCCAGGCACACCAGCACCACAGGACCACCTGGATGTGGGGCTCCTGCAGCATGACACAATGCAAGGCATCCTGCCTCTGGGCTTCCTAAACCCTGATAAACAGCCCTACTTGGGATAAAGCAAGTGGTATCTCAGGGAGGAGGGGGATGATGAATTCTTTAGACTTCCAATCTCAGAAAGCATCCTAGACACCAACTTTGCCATATCCTTCTTGAAGCCCATGGGTGACCCAGAGCATCACGGCCCTGTCATTGTTTGACACAGCACCTGCCACTGTTGGGGAAATGTCCATCTGTGGCCTCTGTGACTAAATCAACATTCACTTGCTCCTAGAGAAGCCAACAAGACATTTTTCTAGTTCCTTTGGTGGCTGTGTACTATGGCCACATTGGACTCATGAAGGGATGAGAGCCTCCATTCACCTCTCGCAGCTGAAGGAGAGTAGGAGCAAAACTCAGGCACCCCAGTGACCTTGTGGGGTCACAGCACATGTCATCTCTGGTCCAGAAGGCCAAAGGAACAACCTCTGCCTCATGCTTTGATGGGTATAAATTTATTACCTTGATATACACTGAGCTGTTGTATGATAAAATGTTTGCTTGGCACAGAGGAGACAACATGGGGAGGACTGGATGGAGAGGTAGATGGGGGACATTGACACTACAGAGCTCCTGGGTGTCTCAACAGGGTTAACAGGCAATAAAGGTAGAAGGAAAGCAAGAGGTGGAAAAATAAGAAGTGGATCAAAGAGTGATGACGCATGAGTACTGATGGGGGCAGCAGGAGTGGAGATGAGAGACAGGAGAGCAGATAGTGCAGGACAGGAGGCCACCGGGGTAAAGGAACAGAGGAGAGGGATCAGGGGAAGCAAGGGGTAAAGCAGCCTAGGGAAGGAGAGCTGGAGAAGAACGAGAGGTTAAAAGACAGAAAGCAGAGGAGTGGTTACTCACTCTGTGAGAGGGGAGATGAGGAGACGGAGAACAAACCATCACCCTGTAAACAGCTCTAGACAGAGCGCGCTGCCTCCAGGAGATGCAACCAAAGTGAAAGGGAGCAGGGAGCGCGGGGGCTGGAGGGAACGCCGGGGAAGGATGCCACCTTCCCCATGGCGTTAGCAAGAGGCGCTGGCGCCTGGCCAGGCTGCATCTTCTCCCTCCCCCTCCTCCTCTCCTGCTTCTCTACCCACGTCCCTCCCCTTTTAAATTCAAAAATTTATGTGGTGTGAAATTTCATCTGCTTTGACGACGATTCACAAAGACACTGCCCATCGGAGGGGAGAGGCTTGCCTGCGCTTTGCACGATGCACTCAATGAAGCAGTCCTGCTCCCTCCAGCCACCGAGCCTGGCCACCACCACCTTCCCTCTCCAGCTCCCCTTTCCTCCCTCAATCTCTGCCCACCCCGTGGACCTCCGGGTCAGCCCCTTCACATGTCACAACCTTTACACCACCTTCCCCACAAAAAAGACATTCATGTCCTTGCCCTAATTGTTTCTCCTGAGGTCTGTGGGCACTCATGCTATCAAGCAGCCAAGTCCTCACTGCCCTGCTCTTCTGCTGCACAGCTGGCAGGCAGACACAGTTCATTTTGGATGGATACCTCACTCTGGAGAGCATCCTTCAAGCCCATCTCTAGAAAAGCAGCCATGAAGCTGTCACACAGAGTGAGTGCTAGGTCTCTGTTACCATGAGGAAAACTCTGCCCTCCTGAAGCTTGTACTGACAAAGCAGATGCTTATACAGAAAGAGTAAGATAACCTCATCCTGCTGTCCCTCCACTGCTGCCTGTTCTGCAAGCTGAACCTGGCAGCAGCAGCAGACTGTCCCACCACAGCTGTAGCTCAAAAGGGAATGCTCAAGTTTCTGCAAACCATCAATCCTCCACAAATATTTCAGTTCTCTGACATGAGCACCACCATTCCCTCTCTGATCCTCCTCATTGCTGTTTACTTATTAATGGCTTCTTCTGTCTTATTTAGAAAGATTATATAAGTTCACAGACACAGAGCAGCACAGAGCTCTGACCTGCTATTAAAACCTGCTGTGGTTGAATGTCTTCTTTCCATCTTCTCCGTATCCTGTTGCTGGCTGCCTCCAAGGTAGCTGCCCTTTCAGCTCCTGCTCCAGTCAGATGTACCTCTACAAATCTTTAGCTCTGAAGTGACCCATTCATCCTATAGATCAATTCCAGTATG